TTGAACTAGGTGGTTTCTGTCTATCTCTAATAAATACTTCAGTCTTGGAATATACTAACAAAGGTATTTTTGCTAAGATCTTTACATAGTCTTGGTTGAAAACTGCAATCTTAGAAGGAATAATGGTAGTGAAACACACATGGCTGGCCCCAACTCTGACACATCCATGTGTTAACTCATTTTCACACTAAAAATGACATTATGAGACCAATATTCATATTATTTCTATTTTATAGTTGAAGAAATGAGGCATACCATGGTACAGAAAGACTGACTTAAGTTCTCATAGCTGGAAAATGACACACCTGGGTTTCAACCCAAGCAGTGTCAGACTCCAGAATCTGTGCTCTTAACTTTGACATGTACTGACACTGTAAGAAGCGGTGAACTTATTTCTAGTTTATGAATGATTTGCCGAAGTCACATAACTAGTAAGCTAAAAAAACAGGATAAAAATCTAGAATTGTCTGTCACCTGTGTTTGTACTTTGTTTCCTATATCATGCCACATGAGTGAGTTCCAAGAATGAGGACAGCAGGGGACACCAAGGTGAGGTTTGGGGGAGAGAAAGTCTATGTCTATGGGAAAGCTTGGCATATGAAATGCCTTTCAGTCATTGCCATCTTAGGACGGCAACCTTAGGATGGCAGCAGGACCTGTATCCCTCACATCAGAGTCTCATCTTTCTGATGCAGACATAAAGAATCTGGGATGTCCTTTAACCTTCAAACCCACCCTGCCTGGTGTCAGGGCCCACTTTGGCGATGCTAGTTTTCTTGATCTTGATCCTGGCTCTCTGAAGATGGATAATCTCACTTTGTCTCCTTCAAGTCATTTGTGTTGCCCAAAGACCTAAAGAACAATAACTCTGAGTGGTCCCCAAATCCAAATTTGGAAAGGATAAACCACTGCCATCACTATTTCCTTCAATCAATGAAAACCAAATATCATTAATTAAATTTCTATCTGGGTATGCTTTTATGCATCACTTTAACAAATGCTACACAGATCAAACTAAACAATACCCGTTTTCAGGGTTTATAAACCATATCATCTATGTAAAACAGCCCAAATTGTCTTTTTTCTGGAAACATATTGCACAATGTTGGGGACAGAATTTAAAATGATAATATGTAGACACATTGATAATGGAAGAGTTTTCTACACTCTTGTCTTTGAAATGCTGTGCAACACCACCCATCAAACTATGTCCCTGCTCATTTCCTAACAAACTCTCAGCCGGGCATTCCAGTTCTCATAAACACAACTTCAACCTATGTCTTCAGTCATGGGTCCTTCTTTCCCCTGGACATGACTCTTCAAGATGAACCAATACCTGTCTCGAGAGTAGAGTCTGCATTTTCTGCCTACATGGACTTGTTCACGAAACTATTCCCGTGATGTCCTAACTCGGGTGTCATTTCAACTTCTTCTTTAACACAAACCTCAAATGCCACCATCTCCTCCAAGAAGCCCTTCCTTACCCCTCTAACAAAAGTGGTTTTTTTCTTCTCTGTGTCGTCAGATATCTTTGTGGTACATGAATAATGTTTTATAAATACATATGTACATATATACAACTTTTATTATGATTAGTTATATTATGATCTTTAGCATGGTTAGCTAATTTCCCAAATTAGGACATGAATTTCTCTTGACCAGTGACCATGATTTTCTCCTGAACTTGCCTTAACAACTTCTATTCTGCCAAATATAGTACTTGGAACACTACACATAAACAGTGAACAGTTATTGTATTAATAATAATGTTCAGCTAGGGATGTGGCTCAGTAGTAAGCCACTTCCCTAATGTGCACAAGGCCCCAGGTTCAATTCCCAGCACACAAGAGGTAGAATAAAATAAATAATGTTGATGATATAGTGAACTCTTACGGAGTACAACTGTGGACTAGGAATGACATTTACATATTATAACTAATGTAACATTCAAAATCCTTTCACTGGGGGACGTGAAACTTAACAAGGTTAAATAAATTGTTCAAGGTTACACAGCAAGTAGGGTTCCCAACTCTTATTATAGCAGTGGGCTATATCTTGGATCCAAATTTATTAGATTCTCAATCAATTCAACACTGTATAAAGTGATAAAATGTGAAGTATATATGGTTTTTAAATTTTAGATAAATTACACAAGTATGAAACAAATCTATAGAGTGTAGCAGAGAAGGGGGCTACTTTTCAAAATTTCTCTCAAAGATTAGATTTGACTTTTTAAAAATACCTATATCTTTATAAATATATAGATAAATATCTACATATAGATATATATTTATATATTGAAATATATATAAAATATAAGGACATACATAAAAAGATATATATCTATGTATAGAAAGATATCTATAAATATGTATCTTTCCATATATAGAGAGACAGAGTTATCACCATAAGAAATGTAATTGAAAACAATTCTGAGACATTTATGTAGAACAACTATTTAGGAGAAAATTGAATTTTCATATTGTAATAGAAAAGAAGTGGAGTCTTGGAAGTTTAATAGTCTTAGGTTAAAATTATGAGAATAATCTCATAATATTTTAGTCCTGATCCTTGGGCATGTTACTTAATCTTTCTAAGTCAACATTTTCCCAATGTTGCATGGTCCTGAACAATGACAGCTTTCAGAGATAATTCAAATATTAGATGGACATAAAATATGTGGAAAACCTGTTGGAGTATCTAACATAAGGTAACAACTCCACTGATGTTGGATATTATTAACACTGTTTTCAAAAATATTTCTATGTCAAGGGAGTATGCTACACCAGTGTTCTTGAGAAGAACACTGGAGAGGCATAGCTGCCATACAATTTCTACTCTTCTTGTGGTGACAGAAAGTGCTACACCTAAGAGCAGAAAGGGAAACAAAGTCCCGGATCAGCCATCCTCCAATTCCCAACACTTCCTTCTTTTCAAACTGACTCCATTTTATTCTTTTGTAAAAAAAGGTCCAAACAATGAAAACCAAATTTGATCCACCCTATAAATAATCTATCCACTTTTATCTTCAGTGTCTGCTCCAGCACCTTGCACCTGTCTTTCAGAGAACATGCTCGTTCACAGCAGCAGAAGTAGTGTGATGTTTGGCATCAGATCATGGGTACACAAACACCATATCCACCCTGTTTTGTTTTCAGATGTTTCCAAATTATTACCTGAACCTTGGTTTCCTCAACTATTAACTGGAAACAGAATTTCCTGGAAGGGCTGGTCTACAAAATATACGCATCCACAGCCATACAAGGCCCAGCACAGAGTAGACACTCAGTAATGACTAAGTAACTCCCTTCCTCCTGCCTAGGTTCCTCCTAAGTGGAAAATCATCCAAATCTGCAGACCAACATAGCATTGGCCACAAGGGATGGATGGTTTGGATCTGAAAAGAGCTACCTCATATAACTAAGACATAAAATGGCAATTACCAAGAGACAGGTTACAGACACTATTGATGATGGTTGAAACCAAATCAATGACCTGAAAGTAACTCGCTTTGTTTCCTTTTTAAAATAAAATACCCTTTAAAAATCCCTTAATTTCCTGGAAAACATGTACCTGGAAACCCAGGAAGTCAAAAAGGCCTAAAGATCAGATCAGTTTTTTCTCTGCCTTATTTTCAGATGGAGAAAACACAAACATGAAGCTGGATTTTGTGTTTCTGGTACATTTCAGAAAGCTGCAATGTCAAAATACAAATCAAAACATTTCCTGGGGCAGTGACTAACATATTTCAAACCATCATGTTAGAGATGAATCTGAACTCTGTTATCACCATACCTGTGATAAACAAAGTTACTTTGAAGTTATCAAAAAGTTGCTTGGTTTGTTCATAACATTCTATTTTTTGTGTTAAAAACTTTCATTATTTTGTAAATTATTAAACCTTTTCCTTAAAATCAAAGAAGAGGTGAACATGAAAGCTTAAAAGATACAACAGATGTTCTTAACATTGGTTAAGAGGAATTTATAACTTCAACTACTGTCAATAACATCTCACTTTCTCTCTTCATTTTTTAATTTACTATTCATTATTTGGGAGGATAGAGAAGGATATCGACTGCATCAGAGGAAGGTAATTTCCTCCAATACACTGGGAATATAAAGGAGCCACAGTGTAGCAGGTTTTCTACAGAAACATCACCCAGTCTCCTAGGAATAACTCTGCACTGTATTCACACATGTAAAGGATGATGTGATTATCATCTCCATCATTTCATATGTATGTGTGCATAAATTAGTGTGTGAGCATGGATCTGTATATTCATGCTCTCACTTATACACATACACCCCCAGTCCATAAACCCACAAGGCTTTACCAGCCGGGTTCCAGGAGGCAAGGACTGGAGCCCACAGAGGGAGCAGCCTTTAAATAAATCTGAAGTGCTCTTGTGATTAAGACAGCGCCGACCTTCCAGCAAGGCACTGTTGCTGAGGCCTCTTCATTTAGAAATTGCCACATTCCATTTTAGATATCTGTTCTCTGGCCAGCTTAGCCCACTGGTCCTTTCAGCCCAACCGGTGAGAAATGGTAAAATGGGACTGCGCCCGGACTCTGGAAGCAGAAGTCCCTTCCACACCCCAGCAACCGGCTCCTTTCCCTCCTCGCTGCCCGGCTGCCGCTCATCTTCCCGGCGTCCAGGGGTGGGGGGCGAGTGAGGCGAGGCCACAGAACGGATGGAGCCCACGTTCGCCCCAAGCTCACCTCCTCCCGGTGCCCGCACCCACCCATCACTGGTACAGTCGTTTTCCCCTTCATCGCCTCCCCGTCACCCAACGCTGCAGCCGCCAGGGCTGCGGGGGTGGTGTGGGAAACACGGGGGTTCCTTCGCCCCCACCCCTGCGCACCCTAGAAGAGAGCCCGCTGGGGAAGGGGCTGCAGCAACTTGGAGGAACTTAGGCGGGAGGCAAAGGCTGCCGCGCCTCAGCCTCCGGGCGGCGGGGCCTCCGCCCGAAGGCGAGGGCAGCACCACCCCCGGGCTTACCACGAGCACGGGGACCCCGGCGGCCAGCGAGTAGAGGAGCACGGGGGGCACGGCGCTGCGGTCCTCCGGGCCCGGGTAGGGCTTGCGGTAGGCGTTGTCGTGGCAGAAGAAGCCCTGCACGTTCACAGTGAACGTGTCGGTGTATTCGAAGTAGTACGCCAGCATCACCGTCCCGGCCATGATCACCATCTGGAAATAGAGCATGCTGCTGGTGAGCGCCGCGGGCAGCCGGGGCATGCACGCCTCCCGGCCGAGCCTGGCGAGCCCCCGCCCGGGTCCTCGGAGGGAGGCGGCCGCCCGGCGCGGGGGCGGCAGGAGGACGCGGAGCGGAGGGAGGCGGCCGCTGGAGCGCAGGCGGAGCAGTCCGGGCTGGAGGCGCGGGCAGGCTGCGGAGGAGGCGGCTACCGCCGGACGAGCCCCCGCTCCCCTGCCCGCCCCCTGCCCGCAGCAAGCGCCGCCCGCCCGGGCGCGGGGTCGCGCGGAAAGGCGGGGGGGTCCCGGGGCGGGAGCATTCGTGGGACTGCGGCGCTGGGTCCAGCCCTCTGGCCCCGGGAGGACGCGGCGGCGGCAGGCGGGACAGCGGCACCTGGACCCCTCGAGGGGCGGAGGCTGTGGAGCTGGAGGCGCTCCGGGCGGGGGTAAAACCAAACTCCAAAGGGGAGGGGAGGCAGTAGAGATGGAGCTTCTAGAAACTCCCTTTCCAGGCACCAGCTGGGCTGTTTGAGAAACCCGCACAGCGCCCGGGAAAACGATGCGTGGCCCGTCTTCCCCGCTCAGAGGCCACCGAGCGCAAAGTGCCCGGCGCCGCGCGTGCAGCTTGGCTTCCTTAACCCGCGCAGGACACCAGCCAGAGGTGGTTTCCAGGTGCAGTTGGGAAAATGAAATCAGAGAATTTGGGATTCGGGTTTCTTTGCCTCCTCTCCAGCTTCATGGGGCTTTGTTATCTAAGAATACGGAAATCATGGTTTGTAGCTCCACAAACATCATCTCTTGCACCTTGCTCCTTATTCGTTGTGTATATAATCTTGCTCATCTTCTCAGTCTCCTTTTATCAGGTGCTAATGAGACCAGACATGGCAGGTTCTTGGGACCCAGCAGTACTAGTCACCAGGGAAGAGGAAAAGGCTGTTTGCCTCATTTCGCTATGTCAGGAGTTCAGGGAACTGCAGGGATTCCTCTGGGGTCAGGTGAAAGGAGGAGACCAATGCAGGCTCCTTACACATGCATACAAAATGGACTCATACGTGAGCATCCACGCCTGTGCGTGGATATGCGAGTCACTGCAGAACTGCATATACACGCGAAGAGCCCGTTCTGAGACGCGGTGTGGTCCCTGCTGCGAGCTCAGAGCCTGGCACTCACTGCCCACACTCTCCACTCCAGTGAGCAGGGAGGAGGCTTGTATACAAGGCAAGGGGAAGAAAATATTCTTAGAACTCTGCCCGTCTCATTAAAGCATACGATTACCTTAGCAGGCTTCAAGAATGTTAATTCGTTTTAATAGGTTGTCGCTTGATGACTTTTAGAAATTGGCCTTTATCATCAGGAAAATACTTATTAAACATGGTTAGGCTAAAGGAAAGCAGTTGAAAATTGTCAAATCTTTGCTGTTTGGAGATGGGAGAGTAATGATATTGCTTTTTAAAATTTTGAATATGTGTTATATACATCTTCATGTTATTGTAAATTATCATTCAACAACCAATTAGACTGCACTAACCCATGTGTGTAACAAGCAATTTGGAGCAGTGGAAATCAACTGTTCCTAAATGGACAAGTAATACTTATTGTATTATGAAAATGTAACTACTCTAAGATATATGGTTTAAGTCTTCACTCCGAAAATCATTCTACAACTATCAGGGTGTTTTAAACTGCTTCCGTGATTCTAAATAGGAATCCTGCAGACCTTCCCACTTAATAGAATTTTTGGCAGAATGATGTTAATTACTAATGGTAACTCATTTGTTCCAGCTAATGGAAGCAAGCATGATTTTCAAAATTAAAATATATTGTAACACAGTTAATGCATATTGAGTGCAATGTAATAAGGCAAAAACTTTGCCTGTTCCTAGCATTGTCAAAGTATGGCTGATTGTAGGTATTCAATGAGTATTTGTTGAATAAATTAATAAACTGACTCTTCTGACAACAAGAAAGTGTTTTCACATTTGAAATGTGTCCAAGGTCCAGAAATCACAGTTTTTATGTTTCTGCTTAAGCACAGCCCACACATTGGCATGGTCACATCCACACAGAATGTCTGAGGCTGGTGTAAGGGCAGCCATTTTGGTTGCTACCTCAGTTTCCATGCCACCCTGCCACTTGCCAACTCTGGAAACCTGGGCAGGGTGCTTGACCTCTTTGTTCTTTAGTTCGTCTCCAGCAGAACTAACAGATTCTAGTGCTCACTCTGCAAGGCTGACATGAGGATTAAACGATTCTCATTTCACTGTGTCTGTCATGTAAAGACCACCTGTATAGTGTTTAAATTCTGCCAAAAATATATCTAACTTACTTTAACTCATCTCATTTAATTTCAATATCTACTACCAGTCACTGCCTTCTCACTTTCTTGCCTTCAAACTGCTACTAGGTTTATCCATATTTATGTAATTATGCTCAGTTTTAATAGATTTTGTGTATATTCTATCTGCTTTTTTAGATATTATCTCAGGAATAAGATTTTCTTTTTTACTTCAGAATTCTAATATCCCCAATATTTGTCCAATTAATGATGGTCAAAGGGTGTTGTTGACTGATTCATGGTTGGCTAACCATCCCATGCTGAAATTCAAAGGTAATATTGAATCTTAACTTACATTATAAGGATATAAACTTTAAATTCTCCTTCCATGAATATTTAAACAGACTGGATATTCACACAAATGCTTCAAGGTGGATGAGAGAGCATGAGTTATATGCCCTTAAGCTGCTTACTTTGCCTTCCTAAACCTGAGCTTCCTCCATGGTAAAAATAAACTAATTTTTCTGACCTCTCCTTAATTTTGGTAGTTATGTGAGAATATGTAAACTACTTGGTCAAAAGAAAGTGCTTATTTAGTGCATTTCTTCTCTCTATTTTCTGTTGACTCATTTATTTCCCAAAAAACATCTTTTCAATTGTAAATAATCTTTAGAAGTCCTGCCTTAATTTTTATTCAAACTTCTGACTCTAGATTAAAACAGTACTATTGATATTGAATCTACTTGAATAAAGATTCTTAATTTAGTTTAATTCTTAAGCACATTAGTGTGACTTCCATCATATTATAGGGATCAGCCTTTCTTAACCAAACACTGTCCTGTCCTTCAAACTCTCCCATCTCAGCTCCTACATTTGTGAATAAAATAAGTGAAAAAAGTATACTTTTATTTTCCAACTTCCAGTACTTCATATTATATTTAGGTGCTTGTGGTTTAACCACTCATACCCCTACCATGTATCTCCATGGCGAAATACATGGTAAAATATTGGGGAAACTCCAATTAATTACAATATCTCTCTTCTCTTCACCCCAATACTATGTGCTCTAGTAAAAATTAGTAAGGTACTAGACCAGCATGGGAAGATATAGCCTTTGTCCATATGGTTTCCATTATCTTCCAAAGACAAAAGTACAGAAGGTCAAAGTCGGAGGGGGGAGTTTTATGTTACTGAATAGCTTGGGCAGGCAGGCTTCAAATATTTGTGTATGGCTAGTGAGTTCATTTTTCCCATTTAATTTGGAAAACTTGAAGTGTTTACTAGAAGGGTATAGATAATAAATGCCCAATTTTTCAAGATTATTACCAATTAATCTGTTATAATTGAAGCAACATAAAATATCCCATTAAGGGCCAAGGATTTGGTCCTCATTGTATTATGGACAGAATGGTTTTAGCAAGGAGATTTCTCAGCATTTCCAAATAAAGCACAGAATAATAAATGTTAATTTTCAAATGTTTCAAGTAATTAATAAGCCCAGCCATTTTCCTGAAATTTTCTCATTCCATGTCCAAAAAACAGAGATAACATAACCTCCAATGCATAGCTGAGACAGTGGAATACAAAGGACTTAGAAAGCTTTATATGAGACAAACTAGGGAAGTATCTTTAAAAGAATAGAATCCTTTTAAACAACAATACAACCTATATTCATAATTGTAAACTTAAGCTAGAGATGTTTAAGGAGATTAGAGAGTGAAAAGTTAGACAAATTTGTACTGATGAGGAATTTTAAATATTCTCATATAGATTGGTAGAGAATCTCCTGAGAAGAGACTGGGAAAGAGTTTTTTTTTCTTTTTAATCAGTGAGATAGCTGCTTTCAGAATAAATAAGAGCACCTGGTAATTCATTCTAAAATTATTGAAGCTGTATTACAAAAGGCAGTATGTATCAACTTACTACTGGGTTGAATCTGGAGAGTGAATAAATACAGTAGCCTACCAACATTCAGACTATTTGTTCAGGGAACATGTCTTTAACTTGAATGAGAAATAAGACAAAGAGCTGGTTAAATTATGAAATATGGTGCTTAAAAACACTCATATAAATTCAGATATAACATTCTGAAAAACTTATTGAAAAGAGGTAGGAACATTGGACATTACATCCTTGACTCCTTGTTATTGACATGATGGAGGACTGGATCCTCACAGAATGGTTTCCAGTGCTTTATTTAGGAAGTAACTTCTTCCTCTAGAAAAAAAAAAAAAGCTAGAATAGTAATTTGAGTGTCTTTTGCACCCTAGCTGTAATTGGCTGATTATCTCATAGGTCAGATACTTCTGACCTGAACAACTGGTATTTATCTTCAGCTGGACCCAATGAGATGTCTTTAAAGTTCTTTACTCTGTGACTACATTAGAGCTTCTGTTCTATATTTGTAATGTTTTAGTTTAGTTTTTTTTAACTTTCAAGGCATTTATCACAAAACATTTTATTAGTGAGACTAGTTATTTTCCACTGAAGCTATATGTTAGCCAACTTTCCACCACTAGGACAAAATACCTGACATAAACAATTTAAGGGAGGAAAGGTTTAGTTTGGCACACAATTTCAGAGGTTTTGGTCCATGATCGACTGGCTTCAAGGCAGAAACACCATGGTGAAAGGAGGTTTTGGAAAGCTCCTCAATGCATGGTGGCCAGGAGGTAGACAGGGAAGGGGGAAGAGAATGTACGTATTAGAAATTAATAGAGTAGATTTTAAAAAAAGATGAAATAGTTCATAAAATATTAAAGCTAGGGAAAATAGAAATGTTTAACTAATATATCATATGCTGTTGTGTTAAAGTGAAATGTTAAAATTATTGTTAGCAAAAGATATTTGGAACATGCTGCTCATATTCACTTTGTAACACTGGCAATTAATTATCTTCTCTAAGTCTTAGTTTGTTCATCTGTGTAATTAGTTTTATGAACCTTAACACAAAGATATTGAAATGCTTATATTTATAAAATGCTTTAGGAATATTGGGAAATTCTGTGTTAGAAAACATATAATCAGCTGTAGAGAATGACTCATCTAAGTGGGTCCTAGGTTTTCTCCCCATAACTAAGTCCAACTCCCAGAACATAGGAATAATCACTACCTGGTCTATTTACATGGCTGTGAATAATAGACTGTTTTCCAGGTGTTGTGATCATTAAAGTACACATTGTTTTGTTAAAAGAAGAATCAGTGGATCCATAATGTTGGGGACATTTCAAACTATTCAAGATCCCTAATACCTTCAAACAATTTTTAAGGATGTGGATAGAAGAGAA